AAGACATTCCTGATGCTTCCAGCTCTGGAGCCAAATGACTCAGAGGCCTACCCCATTTCTTCCTCTCCTGTTATAACCACCACCAAATTCTCCTTTTAGGGTAAATTTATTTGAGATCAGAATTTATTTGAGATCTGACCAATACACCTACATATCCAATAGGATTGGTAAGCAAGCTATGGTATAGTCATAGAGTCAAAATCGTATGGTCATTAAAATGATCTTAGAAAAGTATAGCTTTCAGTAAAAGTTACATGAACAGATAGTGTCCAAAGATGATCTGATAAGTGAAAAAAGTTAGTTACAAGACAATACTGGCTCATTATATTATCTAATTTTGTTAAAAACAGCTTAATAACTAGAGACAATAAATTTTAATGGCTTTTTCTGGATGATGGAATTGCACATAATTTTTTAATAATTTTTTAATTTATATTTTATAATTTTTACTTTTATGATAAGAAAAATGATGCTAAAAACCAAGCCTCTAGCCTAACATTTTCACAGGCCTAGGTACAAATTAAAACTTAAGAGCCCACTCATTCATTTGAATTTTACCATGCTCCTTTTTTTCTAAATAAGTTTCCTTTAACATGGTGACACATCATCCCTTTCCTTTTTCAAGGCACTTTAAAAGAAGACATTTATAAGGATAGTAAATTATCAACGCTTTCCGCCAGCATACTTTATGGCATTTTAGCTAGTGTAGGAGTTCACAAAAGAAACGTTTTAATCTAAATGAAGTCACTCATTTAGAAATAACTTTCTAATTATTTTCTCCATGGTAACACATATAAAATATGAAAAAATATGTTATTCAGGTTTTTTTTTCTCTTTCATAACGATTTCAAAAAGCATTAAGTGCGTTTTATACCTCCTTAAAAATTTCACCCTGTAGATGGGGTTCATTTTAACACCAAAGTCTGGGGCTTTGCACCAATAACCTGATTCTATTACTGTATTGCATTTCTGATGAAACACACTAGTAGTTTAAAGTTTCTTTATTAAAATTTTTTCTCATGAAAATGACTCTGAGCTTTGGAAAGCACTTCTAAAATAATGTTATATGAAAAGTGAACCTTTTATTAGACCTCAGACCACAGAAGAATCCCATGGAATTTTTTCTAATATAATTAACCCCTTCATTCGAGAACTTAAGAGCTGGAATATGGTTTAATAGGTAGATTTAGAGGCTTCTGTGCCTCCAGTAATCCTCCTTTCATCAAAACAATGGCTATAATTAATATATGATTTTGCCTTTCTCCTCAAAGGACTTTACAAATTGTTGCCACAGGACTCATGACACTTGCTAATGAAGTACTTACTGCTCAGTCCAGAAGAGAAATTCACAGTCTTCTCAAGTTTATTCCACAATGATGTGGCTACTGATGTGGCTACAAAGGAGAGTTGGTGGAGCTTGATGGATTCAACTTCCCATTACCAAAAGAATAAGTCAGGAATGGAAAATCAGTCAGTTCCAAACTGATTCCCCAAAGTCTGCATGGCAGGATCACTGAGGATCACTGTTTTGATTTATATTGTGTTTTTCAGTATCTCCCACTATGATGTCCTATAGAGGTAGGTAAATTATAGCTGAGGTCCTCTGGCCTCAGCCTAATTTTATAGCTACTCTTCTCCTCCCACCCCTCCTATCCCACCCACAGTGAATTACTTTTACATTTTCAAAGGATTGTTTAGAGGACAGAAGAAGAATATGTGACAGAGACTGTATGTGACCTGCAAAACCCCAAATATTTATTATCTGGTTCTTTAGAGGATAAGTTTACTCCTTCCTGAAAATTGAAGGCACAATAAGAAAAGTCCAGCTGTAAAGCTGTTGCAACTCAAGCTATAAACATTGTCTCACATTCATGAAAGTGTCATTTGGAAACTTGGACATAGTGTACAGAGATAAAAACACTCTGTGGAAGCACATTTCAGGTGTCACTGAACTTTTTTGGGGAGTCAGCACATTTCTGACGGACAGGATATAGACCTAACAAAGACAAGTTCATGTACCAACATGCATGTAGGAAACACTATATACACCCAGGATATTCATCTACAACTTGGAGCTAACATCAGATAGGTTTGCTGGACTTTAGCACTACTCAGCAATGGGGCTGAAAGGAAAGAATAGAAAGGAAGAGAAAACCAAGCTCTTGGTGCACAACAATTTGGGAAGACCTACAGGCAAGACTGAGCCCATTCAGGCCAAACAGAGTCAACAGAATAGCAGCATGACCATCCCACTGTATACCGTTTGTGTAGACTTCTAGTTAGTTTTAGTTTTATCAGCTGTTTATCTGATAGTTATTTACAAACCATACCTCTCCTCAGCAACAAAAAAAAGGTCCAATTATTAAGTTCCTAATATATTAGCAACAAAAGCTGCTTTTTGTGTGAGGCACCGTCCTAAACCTGCTACACATATCATGCCCTTTGAGACTCCAGTAAGACAGGCATTGATCTCCTCATTTTACAAGGGCTCATAGTGGCATGCCCCACACAATGGAAGTCATCCAAAGTAGGGTTAGTGAGGCTCATGAGAACAACCTCTGATTCATGTCAGTCTTTCTGCCAAGTTCATTATCAGATGTAGATGCCATGTGACAGACTTTTCCGTCAAAAATCCAGAATCCTATTGGAAAATGAAACAGATACAATTCAAAACTTGGTCTTTGTTTTCCCTATCTTTGGAAGAGGTATTTAAAAACTACTTAACCACAAAAATGTACCCCACTTGATGAAGACAGTATTTACAGTACGTATTTACAAATGATTAGAGCTGCTCACATGCCTTAAAAAGGGACCTAATGCTGGGTGTCGTGGTTCACGCCTGTGATCCCAGCACTTTGGGAGGCTGAGGCAGGCAGATCATGAGGTCAAGAGATCAAGACCATCCTGGCCAACGTGGTGAAACCCATCTCTACTAAAAATACAAAAAAAATAGCTGGTCATGGTGGTGTGTGCCTGTAGTTCCAGCTACTTGGAGGGCTGAGACAGGAGAATCACTTGAACCCAGGAGGCAGAGGTAAAAGTGAGCTGGGATCGCACCACTGCACTCCAGCCTGGTGACAGAGCAAGACTCCGTCTCAAAAAAATTTTTAAAAAAATAAAGGAACCTAACACCATGAGATCATGGGTCTGAATGAATGCCACTGGCCCTCCCAGTTGCTGTTGTTTCTTCTACACAGAGATACAACAACATTCAGGTGCATGTTTGCCCCCCATCTGGCTAGCGCTTAGCATTTTGAAAGTGTGATCCATTTCTTACTTTGGCACACTAACCCAATCTTTGTGCTTTCCTGTGTATGTGTATAATACTCAAACATGACATCTACTATGGTGTCTGGCCTGTTTTCAGCACCTACTGGATAGCTTTTCAGTTTTACGAAGAATTCATGCAGAGATAACAGCCCCTTCAGGAGCATTTAGATTTTGGGGTTAGCTCCCAAATTCCTGTTTAATCCACAGTTTAGCTGTCCAAAGAAACTACGACTAGAAGCATAACTTTTTATTCTTAGAAATAAAGCTGCATGACTCAAAAAAAGAACAAATTTGAAAAGGGGAAAGGCTTTTCCCATTCTTTTCTGGACATTAAGGCTGCTTCCAAGGAAAATTCTAAAATGGGTGTTTGCTTTAATAGCCACATGGCAACCTCTTCCAATTTCTGAACACAGAGCCAGCCTCCTCAGCCCACTGCCTCTCTAAGGCTGCCATGCTCTTCAAGTGTTCCCGTCTCTTTGCCACTCACCAGAGCTCCTCGGGAACACACAGTGAGTCTCCCCCACACTTGCATCCCTGAGACCCACCATGCCCACTGGCATGCTATGAAATGTATTTCCATGTCTACGCTGTCCTTCAGTGCTAGAAATGTCATTCACCCAGATGGAAGGAAACGTGAGCAAGTAATGCTTATTAGGTCCATTTTGTACTAGAAATGGGGTTAACATTTTAAATTTACCATCTTAGTTAACTCTCTTTTTACTTCTTATTGTGGACAATTTTTAAACATACACAAAACTGAAGATAATGATGTAAATGTACCTACCCTACCCAGTACCCAACCTCTCACGGACCATTAACCTGTGTCCAATATTGTTTTATCTGTACCCTGTTCTCTCCCACCTCCCTTCACAATGGTTATAATCTCAATCCATCTCTAACTTGGTGGGGTTTAACATCATGTTCATCCCATTTTTGAACCCATACATTTTCCAGGAACTCTCAGTTTTTCACTGAGAACAGCAAGTGTGGCAGGAATGAAGAGCAGGCCAGCTGCCATGGAGGCCATCCCCACCACATGGGTGTTTCCTGAGTGAGATGACTTGCACACACAGTGCAAGGTAGGAGGAAAGAAAAAACCCTCATTAAACAGCTATCACTGACAAGGATTCAAGACAATAGGAGTCTCACAATGAAAACTACCATTCAGTCATCAAAGTTGAAAGCACTGGGGTGGGGGTGTGGGGAATATCTGTCACGAAGGAACTAATACTTTTAAAAGATTAGATGTATTTATGCATCTAATTTGAAGTTTATTACCTCAAAGCATTCTGCTCCATGGTTACATCATTAATCCTAGACTGGCTCAAAGGCCAGAAGTTGGTAATAACCCAAATCCATCAACAATAGAAGGATTAAAATTTGTGGCACATTCATATTGTGAAATGTTATACAGCTACCTACAACTAAATGGATGACTCTTATATTATATTAAGCAAAAACAGCAAGTAAGAAGAATAATTCATTGTGATTTCACTGACATAAAATTTAAAAGCAGACAAAGCTAAACAGTGGTAGAACAAGAGAGAAAAGGAAGGAAATAATCATCCTAGAGTTATAATGATGGTTACCTTTCTCTGGCAGGAACAAAATTGCAATTCCATAAGGATAGGTGGGAAAGGGTGGGGATTTTCAAGTGTTGGCAGTGTTCTATTTCTTGAGTTAGATGGTGGTCCCATAGAAGTCCAATTTTTGTTAAGACTTTTTTATTATTAGATGGTGTATCACTCTGTCACCCAGACTGGAGTACAAGGGCGTAATCCTGGCTCACTCCAACCACCACCTCCTTGGTTCAAGCAATTATTCTACCTTAGGCTCTTGAGTAGTGGGGATTACAGGCACCCACCACCACGCCCAGCTAATTTTTGTATTTTTTAGTAGAGACCAGGTTTCACCATGTTGACCAGGCTGGTCTCAAACTCCTGACTTCAAATGATCTACCTGCCTCAGCCTCCCAAAGTGCTGGGATTACAGGCGTGAGCCATGGCACCCAGCTAATAATGTTTTCTTCATTAATGTATATATATGATGTTCTTTCATGAAAGTATTTTATACTTCACAATGTAAAATACTTAATTTTAAAAATTGCATAATTTTCCCATGAATTGGTTTTATAAAGCTCTAGAGAGAAAAGGAAAAGAAGCAAGTTACTAAAAATATTCCCAAGGCAAAGGCAAAGAACTGTGCCTCCATTCCTTCCTTTAGATTCTAAGTTGCATTTGGACCCTGGGTTGCAATTCTTAACCCACGGTGGATGTTAAATAAATATTTGATGGTGTTGAGGGCTTAAGTAATGGTTTACGTAAACATCAAGAGCTGCTGCTCAGAACATATTCTCATGGCACAATAGTAAATTCACCAGAGAGATTTCACTGTGGCGTGCCTCAGACTGTAGAATATAAAGAAGTCTCATTAACTTATCAAGTTGAAAGAGTTCGGGAGTTTGTTTTGTTGTTGCAAACCCAGTGTTTGCAAAATGAGTATTCTCATATATGGTCAGTGGGTCTATAAAATAGCACATGTAAGAAGGGCAATTTGGCAATACTCATCAAAAGCCTTCAAAATAATAGTTTTTGACTCAGCAATTTCACTTCTAAGAATTAATCATGAAGAAGCCATCATGGAGTTTGTACGTAAAGATTTAGCTATAAGGACGTTGTTTGTAAGAGTAAAAAATGGGAAGCAACATAGTTATCCGACAATATGGGGCTTGTTAAACAGATTGTAGTACACTCCAATAGAATTCCAGGCTGGGCACTGTGGCTCATTCCTGTAATCCCAGCACTTTGGGAGGCCTAGGCAGGTGGATCACCTGAGGTCCGGAGTTAGAGAAGAGCCTGGTCAATATGGCAAAACCCCGTCTCTGCTAAAAATACAAAAATGTATACAGCTGGAACTACAGGCACATGGTGGTGCATGCCTGTAGTCCCAGCTACTCAGGAGGCTGAGGCCTTCAAATGGCTTGAACCGGGGAGGTGTAGGTTGCAGTGAGCCGAAATCACAGCACTGAACTCCAGCCTGGGTGGCAAAGCAAGACTCCATCTCAAAAAAAAAAAAGGAATTCCATGTAGCCATTAAAATTGATGTTGAAGAGAAATATTTTAAAACATGCAAACATGTTTATAATATACAGTTATTTTTAAAATCACGTTACAAAGCTATGTGTATAATTTAATAGTGAGAGAGGAAGGAAGGAAGGGAAGAAGGGAGCAAGGGAAGAAAGAGGAAGGGAGAAAGGCAGAAAAGGAGGAAGGAAGGGAGTGAGGAATGGAGGAAAGAGGAAAGGAAAAAGGGAGGCAGGAAGGGAAACAGGAAGGGAACCAAACCACCCCAAAACTTAGTAGCTGAAAACAACCATTTTATCTCATGTTTTTGTGAGTTGCCCAGGGTTACTGGGTTCAGATGAGCAGTTCTCGTGTTAGTCTTCTATTGATCACCTCTTACCACTTTTCCCAGAACTTTCCTGGTTTTAGCACTGAAAGTTCCATGTCCAGGAAACCCCACTCTTCCCTGGGCAAATGGGACCATTAGTCTTAGACTAACTGCCACCTATGTATACCCAAAGTGACAATGACAATAAGTCATGGGATTATGGATAAAATATATTTTCTTTTACATTGTATCATTTATGATGAAGAAAACCTCATTATTTGCCTGTAATTCGAGCATTTTGGGAGGCTGAAGTGGGTGGATCACCTAAGGTCAGGAGTTCGAGACCAGCCTGACCAACATGGCAAAACCCCATCTCTACTAAAAATACAAAAATTAGCTGGGCATGGTGGTGTATGCTTGTAATCCCAGCTATTTGGAAGACTGAGGCAGGAGAATCACTTGAATCTGGGAGACAGAGGTTGCAGTGAGCCGAGATCGCACTACTGCACTCCAGCCTGGGTGACAGAGTGAATGAGAGTCCATCTCAAAAATAAATGAATAAATAAATAAGTAAAACCTCATTACTTATAAATTCAACCATATATAGCCATTTTAGTTCAGCAGCTGGCTGAAGCTTACTTTTATACCACATATAAGTAATTGAATGATAAAATTGTCTGGAAGATATTTTTAAATCTCACAGTTTGGGCCCATAGTTTCCAGTCTTGTGCCCTGCCCCACCTGAATGCAGATTTGACACGTTCCCATCACCAGCAGCTCACCTGGCAGTGATTTTAAACCAGGTGTGGAGGGTGGAGGACTGTAGACTTAAAAAAATGCCCCCAAAGTAAGTCTGATGTGTTCCCTCTTATGTCTGGTTAGAAATAATTAAAACTTTTTTTTTTTTACAGTCAGTTTTATATTTTTTTTTAAAGAAAATTAGGTTTTACTACTCCATACCAAAGTTGTTCTTTCTTAATTTAAATCTATGAAATTTTGCTTGGTTTAATATGCTCACACATTCATTCCAAACCTTCATGTCCTACAATTCAAGTCCATTAAAGAATAGTGTAATGTTTCAGTCACATGGGCTGACTGTGGTAGGGGCTCCAGGTCTTTTCTAGAGCCTAGCATACTTATTACATATATTCTTCTTTCACCAGTTTGAAATTATCCTGTTTTCGCTATTCATTAGTTGAGCAGCCACAGGCTAGACTTATTTCCTCTCCATAATGAATGTTATAACTTTAATCAGTCCAAGTTGTTGATTACGTAGTCAACTGCCATAATTAAGATGATAAACTTAGCTAGTATAATCCTCTTTTAGCAAACTTCAGCCGTGTTTTTCTCCCTTTCGGAATTGCATGTACTCAAGTACATACACACAGGATTTTATTTTCTGGGAACGTGTCTTTCTGCATAAAATGTTTCTGCCATAAAAGACTCCCTAATGCCTTAAGAGAAATGCAATAAGTGGTGAACGATAAACTGTGATGGAGATGAGGAGAAAGGCAGGCGTAATATTCTGGTTCTACTAGTGAAATAATTGTTTTACAGTATGTGAGCAATCAGAGCCATAGCTTGTTCAGAATCAACTGTTTCTCTTCCTGTGCCAGCAAGTTCTCATAAGTTACTATAGGCCAATAATTTAAAAAACTACCAACAGAGCTCTTCCTTACTAATGAGGCTGTGTAATTCTGACTCTTGTGGCAACGACATGAGTCTTTACATTCAACATTATAAAAATAGAATATTCTCTTCTTCAAAGTTCACGAAAGAATGTCATTCCAGAGGCCTTATTAGCTTCATTGGGGTTATGTTCTTATTTCCAGGGTAGTAGAAGTTTAAATTAGAAAAAAGAAGTATTTCTTAAGTAGCATTTGACCCTCCCTTGTGGAGTTTTACTTTACATTACCATGTCTTATGGATTTAATTTCCACTAATACAGAAAAGAGGTCCTAGCCTTCTGGGGAGAAGCAAATAGAGGAGCTATATGTCCTTCCACATGGGCTATGGCAGGACAGTCTGGACTTGCTCAGGCTTAGCCCCGCAGCCTCCTAGGGTCTCTGGATCAAATCCTCTGCCATTTGCTATTGGTTGTAACTAAAACTAAGCAAGAAAAAAACATACTTTCTGAAGCAAGGAGTACTTTCTCTTCATTTCACAAAAACCTTCTGATTAGTTGTCAGTGGATCTGCCTTGTCCCTTTTCAGGTGGTAGGTTGACACAATGGAAGGGAGAAACGCTTAGCACTAACACACTGAGCTATTTTATAAAGCTTACCTCACACGGCTTTAGACTCTGTAGAACATGTGGGAATCACATGTGAGGAGGAGAAATATATATTGTGAAGAGTGACACAAACTCACTGGAGGGACAGCTAGGAACAAAGAAGAGTGGCTAAAACATCGGTTTCCTTTATAAGAGACTTTCAAAATCAGTTTTCTTTTAATTGATTAAGTTTTAACATCATGAGGTCTTTCAAGACACATATATACCTGTTTTATAAGCTCATATAATCTTAGAGTTTAAAATGATTTTATAGGTCACCAAACTCAATGTTTTACAAATATTGGTATAACCAGCCACCTAGGTAAGCTTGGTCGAAATACAGGTACTCTTGAGCCAAGATATCGGTATTTTTAACAAGCTCCCCAGGTGATTCTGTGGTACGCTAACATTTGAGACTTACTTATCTAGTCTGAGTTTCTGTACTACATAGGCACCTCATGCAGTCACTGACAGACCATCCTCCATTGGCACAGGCAGACAGCTTCAAATAATGTGAAATAATATTGAGCTGCTGGTAAATAATAGAGATTCACACAGTAACATGCACAGTATGCCTTTCTTGCTATGTATGTATATGCCTAATGGCTGCATATGCCTTTTTCCTATAACTAAGCAAATAGAAAACTATTAAATAAGTAGGAAATACATAAATTGCTTTCAGTTTTATCTTGATTTTCAAAGAACATCTGTTACTAAGCTTTTCTAAGCATGCCATACTTAGATAAACAGCAAGACCCATGAAAATCATCCAAGCTTTTATTTACCACACATTTCTAATCAACTTAGATATTCTAACTTATGTAAGTTAGCCTAATAGAAGCCTAAAAAATTGGGGAATTTTTCAATTATTCATCTCACCTGTGAATAACTGTTAGTATTTGGTCTTTAATTCTAACACAGATTTATGTTTAATAACTGAATGTAGTTCTCGACCTTGTTAAACCATGTATGAATTCTGAAAACTATTATGTCAATTACATTTTTGTTAGGTAAACCAGCTATTGTTTATTTTAATAAATGAGTGTGGTTTTTTGAGAAAGGTCTCGCTTTGTCACCTAGGCTGGAATGCAGTGGCACAGTCTCAGCTCACTGCAGCCTTGACTTCCTTGGCTCAAGTGA